GGTCAGCATGGACAGCAGCAAAGAGAGTCAATAAAGGGCAGACAGGGTGTTCCTCAAAGACAGCACCAGCATAGCAGTCAACATCCTGAATCTGGGCATCAGGAGCCCTCCACTTCAGGCTCTGGAAGACCTCCAAGAAGGTCTCCCAACCAGCCTGATATCAGTGAAGGTGAGGAGCACTCAGAAAGTTCACAGAGGCACAGAATATCCTCCCATGGTCAGCATGGACAGCAGCAAAGAGAGTTCATTCAGGGAAGACTTCGAAGTCCTCAAAGGCATTCTCAGTTTAGTCATAGAGTATCACATAGTACTCATTGGCAGTCAAGGGATAGTATTATACAACAATCAAATAGAGGACGTGGCTCTTCTGGGAGAAAGAGTTTTAGTTCTTCCAGTAGCAGAAATCAGTCTGATTCTAGTCAACATTGGAGACATGGCAGCTATGGTAGGGAAGAATATGATTATGGAGAGTCAGGATATGGACCTTCTGGAGGCATTAGAAAAAGCAGAAATTCCAGTCTTTGTTGGTCTGAAAGAATCACAAATACAGAAGTGTCACCAGATGGACAGTCCTTCTCTCTATCTGACCATGGAAGATCAAATGGAATTAAAGGAATTGAAGGTCTAGATCTCAAACATAGAGAGTCATACACAGGTTCTAGGCAGCCAGTTGATTACTATAATCTATTTGAATCTAATACACCTAGAAATGCAGTTTCTAGTCCTAGCCATTCTGTAGTCCAACCTGAACATTCAAATTTTAGTAATGTTAAATATAGATACAGTAACAATGAAAATGAAGAAACTACTCAAAGCCAGCCAGTGGACCAGACTGGTTCTAACTATAGTCCATATATATCATTTCAGGAATATTCAGAATACAATTCAATTGGAAGTCAATCTGGATTCAACACAAATGATAGCCAAGTGTGTAGCCATATCCAGTCAGGTGATAGCTACCAGCTGTCAAGTGACAGCAAAAAGAGCAATCAAAGACATTTTTCCAACAACTCTGTTCACAGTTTATTCTGTATGGGAACTGAAGAGTATGAATATTTACCAAGTGCAACCATAGTGGGTGAAGGAAGACTAGGGCAGGAGTCAGGATATAAGCTTTCAGGGAGAATCAGAAATTGTAATCAGTTTGTAGATGACAAGAAGACAGGAGCCAGAAGTTACCATGAAATGGGGGGAATGAATTCAAGTTCTGCTTACTTAGAGAGCAACACTCCACTATATACATATGTCCAAGAACAAAGATACTCTTACTTTGATTGAGAAGCCAGTAATAAGCATGATAAAGCAAGTTAAGAACTAAACCAAGGAATAAAGGGGATGCTTTGTAAGACAATAAAATGTTTAATATGATTCCTTATTCTGGCAGTAGGTGGTATATTCTTTCATATTAATTGTATTACTAAATTTAATGTTGTTTGGTGCAAGATATTTTTGTAGGACTCTAAAGTCACTGATCTTCTTGGATAAAAGAAATTAAATGAAATAAGTAAAAGTATTGGAACTATATTCAGAAGTACACAATCAAAGTGTATATGATTTTGGTGTTTGGGATTTAAAATTAACATTTAAAACTTCTCTGAGACAAGAATTTGGGGTTTCCTCATACTGTTTTAATTCATGATAAAAATTTTATCCAAGAAGCAAAGGTCATAGCTTAAAAGTCATGATTTTTCTAGTAATGGTATAACATATTACATGTCCTGGACAAAGAATTTGATTTTTTCCTGGGTGGAGATTCAGAATATTTTCATCTTTTGTGTTACCATTAAAATTCTTTTACTCTTAAACTTATTGTCATGATTTCTTAGATACAGAAACCAGAAAATTGTATTGGATTATAATTGACAATAAACTTTTCATTTGAACATTTTTTCATTTTTTATCTGTACAGACATTACTGCACTTTTCTTCTACCTCTGTGCAACTAGCAACAGTAAAACACTCAGATGCTAACAGTACAGAGTCAAAGGAAAGAAAAAAATCAACCATATTTAGTCATTTTCTCCTTTAAATTATTGTCCAGATAATTTACAGAAAGACTTTCCATTGCATTCACTGGAGATACTTTAATTAATTATTATCAACTCAGCCAATATTAAATATTGTTCCTTTAGGCTATTCCTAATATACTCTGCACTCTGAGAGTAAGATTCATGTGCTATAGACTCTCTCTGTCAAATACATGAATAGAGATATCTATATCAGTAGAAGTCATGGAACCCCTACATTATCTATAGAATAAAAGCAATCAATACATTCTGGACTAAAAGAAGAAAATTCATGAAGTTGTTGTGAATAGTAAGAAAACTCAGAAAAATACACAAGCTATTAACTTCAGCAGAAAGTTTATTACTACTGTTATGCCAATGATAATTTTTAGAATGTCAAAACTAGTTAAGGGTTTAAAATTTTTCTCCCCAGTTCACAGTTACAAAGAAAAGCCCAAACAGAGCATGCTCAGTAAAAGAGCATCTATTTTCTAGATAGAATTTTATGTTCCATTCTTCTTCTTTACCCCTAATTCAAACTGTTTTCTTGATCTTCCTTATGAATTCAAACTGAGGAGAATTTCCTGGGTGATTTTATAAAGCCACTAACCCTGATGTTTCAAAATGGTGGAACAGAGGTACCATACCATCACCTCTTCTGCAAGGAGAAACAAAATCAGTAGATAAATTAGATATATTATAAGGAAAACATAGTGGAACATTGTAAGAACCAGAGATATGGGCCAGAATCATACTGAGAAATGGATTCTGGCATCTGCCACCCATAGCTCCACAACTCCAGAGGAGTCACCTTTAGGTTGTACCTTTTCATGGTAACAGTGAGAGTCCTACCAAACTCTACCTTTATGGATGTGGGCAATCTATCTACTGGAATATTCCACAGTGTTCATAGAGCTTTACCTAGATAATAAACTAAAATCCACACAATCAAAATATAAGATGACACACAAACTCAATGAAAGATGAAGATGATTCAACCATTTCAATGGATGAAGAAAAAACATACAATAAATTCAAAATCCCTTCATGATAAAAAAACTTCCAAACAAATTAACTATGGAATTATTATAACTCAACAAATATACACTATGTTTAACAAACCCACAATGAGCATCAAATAATAAAAAGATCTAAGAACAAGAACAACACAAGGAAGTCCACTTCACCATTATTAAACACTAGTAGAATGTAGGCTCAGATATTTTTCAATCAACTACTTTATTTAAGGTTCTTAAACAACTCTACCTCCCTTCTAATCACCCCCCCCCCATCTTAGGTAGGAGATTAGTAGGCAGTAGAACTCTTTTTTTTAAATTCTCTATTAATTACACTTTATTCACTTTGTATCCCCCATGTGGTTCCTCCCTCCTCCTGTCCCAATTCCTCCCCTTCTCCACCCTCTGCATGCATGCCCCTCCCCAAGTCCACTGATAGGGGAGGTCTTCTTTTCCTTCCTTCTGATCCTAGTCAATTAGGTCTCATCAGGAGTGGCTGCATTGTCTTATTCTGTGGCCTGGTAAGGCTGCTTCTCCCTCAGGGGAAGGTGATCAAAGAGAAGGCCAATCAGTTCATGTCAGAGACAGTCCCTGTTCCTACTACAATGGAACCCACTTGGATACTGAACTGCCATGGGCTACATCTATGCAGGGGTCTTAGGTTATCTCCATGCATAGGCCTTGGTTGGAGTATCAGAATCAGGAAAGACCCCTGTGCTCAGATATTTTGGTTCTGTTGCTCTCCTTGTGGAGTTCCTGTCCTCTCCAGATCTTACTGCTTCCCACTTCTTTCCTAAGATTCCCTGAACTCTATCCAAAAGTTGTCCATAAGTTTCAGCATCTGCATTGATACTCTGCAGGGCAGAGCCTTTCAAAGGTCCTCTGTGTCAGGCTCCTGACTTGTTCCCTCTTTTCTCCTTGTAGAACTCTTTTAGCTACTTCCTGAAGATTAGGGTCCTTGGGTTCTTTGAGAATATAACAATCTCAGTTGTCTGGATACTAGCAGTCCAATCAAATAGCAAAGCAGCAAACCACAGCAGCAGCAGCAAACAGCAAACAACAGCAACAGCCGTGGTGCTACTAAGCAAAGTGGCTAGACTCTGCCCCAACAGCACAAGTCCACTGAATCAGCAAAACTCTGAGAAAGCAGCAAGAAAAGTTCTCTGCCAGCAAAGTGATATGAAATGTTGCAAAGAACTGAAATGCAAAAAGTTTTGTCTCACTGTCTGTTTATCCCTTCTCAGATTCCACACAGGGAAAGCTAGCAAAAACAAGCCCGTCACACAAGATAGTTTCCAGCTAACAATCATCATGTGACCCCCTCACAGGGGTGTTTTCAAGGAGAATTGTTTCCCAAGGGGAGGTACATTCCCACATCCCATACTTGGGACCAAAACAAAAAAACATATTCACGTGACACAACTGAGTTTCCAAAGAAGCCAGAAACTTCCACTCCAGTAGAAATTTTAGCCAGGGTGGTTAAGCAAGGGACAGAATGGGTCTAGAGAGATGTTTCAGCAGTTAAAATCTGCACTGTCTTTCTAGAGGACCAGAGTTCAGTACCCAGAACCCATACTGGCTGGCTCACAACCCTGCAATTCCAGCCCTGGGGGATATGACACCTTTTTAGCCTCTGGGGACACCTGCATTCACAAGCATATATCAACACACTGACACACATATATAAATACTTATTCATTGCTAGTAGGAGTGCAAATGGTGCTGCCACTATGTAAATCATATGCTTGTTCCTCAGAATGCTGAGAATTACACACCTCAAGATCAAGCTATCCAACTGTTAGGCATATACCTGAAGACTTAAAATCTTACCACATCCATGTTTACTTCTTATCTAGTCATAATAGCGAGAAATTGGAAGTAACCTGAATGTCCATCAACTGATGACATCTAGTGGATGATGAAAATGCATGCTTTTACACAATAAAATGTTATTCAACTGTTAAAAAATAAAATTTGCAGATAAAAGGATAGAACTAGGAAGAAAATATCCTAAGGGAACCCAGACCCTAAAAGACAAATATTGTATATTTTCTCTTATATGATGATGTTATCTAAAGGCATATATATATGAAGTCACCAAATAATGAAGGACACACTGCTCCAGCTAGACATCTTAATCCGCCAAGTAAATCCTCTGCTGCTGGGAATAGTTTACATTTTGTTCAGTCATTGGCCAAGGAGCCCATGAAAGCACCCCCCCCCTAAACATCACAGCTACTGCCAAGGCTATTGGTTGCTCACTACTATCTGATGGTAAGGCCCTATTGCCAAAGACAACACTTAGGTAGCTCATTCAACAATGGAAATTTGATCGAACATGGAAAAGTTGAGATGTTGCTAATGAGAAACATCACTCCTACTGTTCACGATCCTGGAAGTTACTCTACACATTACCAGAGAAGAAAGGCATCAATATCACCCACTATAAACACTGTGACCTACAACCAAAATGCCTGCAAGACAAACTGGTGTAATTGTGACACATTAAGATGAAACCCGTACTTGACAATGGTAAAGTGTCCAGACAGACAAGACTGAAACCAGGTAGGTACAGGGACTAAGGGAAAACATAAGACTGTTATTCTACTAAGAGGAGATAGAATTAAAATTACGCCCAATAACAAAGTGCTGTGTCAACCCACATCAAAGAAGCATCTTGCAGCAGATGGTTGTTAATACTGAGATGCACAACTAGACAATATGCGAAGAGACTTCAGAGCACTCAGTCCTAAACGGGATCAAGCCACTCTCTTTAAGGCTAAGGGATATACTTGTAAAAGGAGCCCCAAAGACTCTAAGAGTGGTGAATGACTCCAAAGAAACAGTGTCTTTCAGATACAACAGGGCTACCGCACTTAGGAACTCACAGAGACTGAAGCAACACTCACAAGACCTGCACAGATTCAAGCTAGACAAGGTCCCATCCCAAACAAAAAACTATCTGCAATTGATACCTGCTGATAAAGAAAAGTATCACCTTTCTCTTTCTGGGTATATGAACCAACTAGACTCCAGGACAGTGGTTGGCAACAGGAAATTAATTCTATGCTATTTTGTGGGATTTTTTGTTTTATTTTTATTTGCTAGGTATTTCTAGCTTGCCTTTTTCCTATATTGTTTTTGTTTTCAAGACAGGGTTTCTCTGTGTAGCCTTGGATGACCTGGACTTGCTTTGTAGAACAGGTTGGCCTTGAGCTCAAAGTGATCTGTCTACATCTGCCTCCCTGAGTGATATCGCCTGCATTTTGTAATTTTATTTTCTGGTTTTGTTTCTTATTTTGTTTTAATTTTTGTTCC